GCGATCTTGATGACGGGCTCGTTGCCGTCGCTGACGATGCCTGCGTGGCGGTTGGCACGCCGGCGGCCCGCAGGCCCAGAGCTGCGGGCCAGCTCGAGGAGGCGCTTGGTCTGGATCTCGCGGCGGATGGTCTGGGGGGACTTGTCCAGGCCGACGAAGACGCTGACGTCGTCGCCATCGACCGAAGCCGCAGAGAGGCGCCGACAGACGCCATCCTTCCTGAGCTTCCTGAAGGCGGCCGCGACCCTACGCGCAGCAAGACCGTCGGCGCCGCGCATGCAGATGAGGGGGCGCCTGCCAGGCGAGGGGCCCTCGATGGACCACAGCGAGTCGTCCAGCTCGGCGTCCGCGAGCCACGGGCGGACGCTGGCGAGGACAGCCTCGTGCGTGACGGCCTCCTTCGTCGAGACCACGAAGACGGACTTGTCGACGTCTCTGGCCCAGTCCGCGATGTCCCCGATGTTCTGGACCGGCGGGGCAGCCTCGCAGACGGCCAGACTCTTGCCCAGCTCGGCGAGCTGCTCGCGCATCTCGCGGTGCTCCCTAGAGAGCTTGGAGACGGACTAATCGAGGTCCCTGAGGTGGCCGTCGATCTGCGCATTCTTGGCCTCCTGGCGCTCGCCGAAGAGCCGCGGCGCGCTGGTGGTACTGTTCGTGATGGAGAGCGTGAGCGCGTCATTGGAGCGCTGCGCCGCGCCCGCGATCTCGCCCCGCACGGCGCCGAGGATGGCCGCCAGCTCTGAGTGCGTGACGGGGGCGTCTGACCCACGAGCTCCAGCGCCATCGCGAGGGCCAAGCGACCGAGGGGCCCGAGGGCCAGGGCCGCAGCGCGGGGTCGCAGGCTGCGAGGCCACAGGAGTAGCAGCGCAGTCATCGTCACCCCGCCTCTGCCAAGGGTCAGCACCACTCTGGAAATGGTCGTCGGCGCCCGCACTCCTGCTGCGATCATCGTCCTCTCCGCGAGGGCTGCCGCGACGCCTAACGCGATTGAGAAGCAGCCTCATCTGGCATTCCCCCCGCAGGAACGAATCGCGAGGGGAACGCGGCGATGGCGAAGGGCGTGCGGGATGAAACCTCAATACATGGCTGTGGCAATGAAAATGTTGTGTGCCAAAAAACGTATCCTGAGCACCGCGGGGTCGCTCAGAACTGTAGCCGGTGCGGGCCGCGACTCCCACGAGAAAGCCTGAGCGATACACCCCGGACTTGAGCCAAACTGGCTCTATATATATATATATATATATATATACACTACATGTGTATATATATATATACATATAAGTATCAGAGTGAAAAGGGACCGAACGGTCAACCATTGTCCCTGGGTGCGTAGCGGGGATCCGTGGTGAGAATGCTGTTTGTTGCGTCGTTGTTGTTGTTGTCGAATTCTCACTTCTGAAACATAACTATTGTTGATCCCCACCCCACCGGCGCATACTGTTTTAATCAAAGTGTGCCCCTCGACGCTCGCACCCTGTTTTTTGACAGGAACAGTCTTGATGCTCAAACTGGGCCCATGACGGTTACTTGACCCCCGGGTTACAACAACAACGGCTCCTGTTTGAGACTTCCTTACAATTTAGCCAGGACCTCCGCTCCCGCACGAGACTTCCTCGCATTTTATTCAGGAATCGCGCTCTCGCCTGGGACTTCCTTATAATTTATTCAGGAATCGCTCTCCCGGCGCTCTGGAATCGCGCTCTCGCTGGAGACTTACTTGCAACTTACTGAAGAATGGCCTTGCTTTGGGATTTCCTGTAATTTGCCCAAGCGCCGCGCTCCCGACACCCAGGCACCCAGGAGTCGCGCCCGTTGTGGCCCCATGTGCATGCCCTTCGTGGCCCCGCTGTCGCCATTTGTGTCCCCCTCAGTGTCCTACGTGGCCCAGTTGCTACCCTCAGTGGCCCCATAGTTGCCTTCTGTGGTTCCGCATTATCTGCACTTCGTGGCCCCCGCTCGTTCGCGCTTTTCGTGGCCCCATACGCATTCCCTTCGTGTCCCCGCTGTCGCCCTTCGTGGCCTACTTCGTGCCCTTCGTGGCCCTGCTGTCGTTCTCTGTCGCTCTCGCTTTCGCTCGTCGTCGCCGTCGTCGTCGTCGTCGTCGTCGCCGTCGTCTTCAACATCGTCGTCGTCGTCGTCGTCGTCGTCGTCGTCGTCGTCGTCGTCGTCGGTCCGCTGTCCGTCCCTCTTGGGGTCGGGTCGACGGTCCGCGGCCGCCCCGCCGATCAGCGCTGCCGCTGGCCAGGCCGACGGTCCGCGGCCGCCCCGCCGCTTGCCGGGGCCCTGCCTGCAGGGAAGAAAGGTATACCCCCCAAAAGGGGTTCGATCGAAGACGAAGAGGAAGAGGACGGGTATCGAGGGTTTGGGAAATACGCGTTATTGGACACTCGAGCATATAAGGGCGAACAGAATTAAAATTGTTGCTCTTGTTGTTGCTGTTGATGTTGTTGTTGTTGTTGTTGTTGTTGTTGCTGTTGCTGGTGTTGTTGTTGTTGTTGTTCTTGTTGTTGTTGTTTGTTGTCGTCGTCCCACCCGCGACCCACCCGCGACCCACCCCGCGACCCATCCCGCGACCCACCCCGCGACCCACCCGCGACCCAACCCGCGACCCAACCCGCGACCTTCCCGCGACCCGCCCGCGACAGACCCCGCGACCAACCCCGCGACCCACCAGCAATCCACCCCGCGACCCACCCGCAACACACCCGCGACCCACTTGCGACCCACCCGCGACCCACCCCGCGACCAACCCGCGACCCACGCGCGACCCACCCGCGACCCAACAGCGATCCACCCGCGACCCATTTGCGACCCACCCACATTGGTTTAACGGAAAGATCGGCGCCTGCGGCGGGCTTGTTGTATAATGTGTGAAACTTTGGCGCCTGCGGCGGGCTTCTCCTGAGTCTCGCGGACTTCCGTCATCCCCACCGCACCCTCACTCTTATCCGCATCTACGGGGTGATGCGCATGTACACGGAGACACAGATTCACACACAGCGAGGAACACGCTCAGCACCAAAAGCGGCTTCGCTCCAGTGCGGGCCAACGTGCCTGCTCAACCACACACTGCATGCGCTCATACCACAGGCCACAGCCTTCGCATCTCCAGCGCCCGCTGCCGCCACGGCACGCGCTGCGAAACAGCGTTCCGAGGCCGCACGGCCACGGGGTGGCGATCGTGGAAATGCCGCCGCCCCCTGAGGGGCGGCCCTCGTGGAAACTGCTCCCCGCAGCCCTGCCTCGAAGTGGCGGCTCGGAGTCCGGGGCGCGTGGGCCAGGACTGGCCACTGGACCAGATCCTGTTCCTCCTCTTCTGCCAATCCTGGTCTTCATCCTGATCCTCCTCCTCCACCTCCTCCTCTCCCTCCTCCTCCTCCTATTCCTCCTCCTCCTATTCCTCTTCCTCCTCTCCCTCACCCCCATTCCCCACCCCCTGCCAAATGGTTCTACGTCTACATCACCATCACCAGCAGCGGCCACAGTAACGCCATCATGCCAGCATCATCGTCATCAAGCGAATCAGAATCATCATCATCATCATCATCATCATCATCATCATCATCATCATCATCATCATCATAATCATCATCATCATCATCATCATCAGCATCATCATCATCAACAATATCATTACCATCATGATGATCAGCATCGTCATCATCGTCATCATCATCATCATCATCAACAATATCATTACCATCATGATGATCAGCATCGTCATCATCGTCATCATCATCATCATCATCATCATCATCGTCGTCGTCAGCATCATCATCATCATCCTCATCAACGTCATCATCATAATCACGATCGTCACCATCATCATCAGCATCATCACCAACGGCATCATCATTATCATTGACATTGTCCGAATCATAAACAGAATCAGCATCATCATCTTCATCGTCGTCAACATCAGCATCAGCATCATCATCATCATTATCATCACCAGCATCATCACCATCATCGTCATCCCAATCATCATCATAATCGTCATCATCAGCAGCATCATCAGCATCATCATCGGTATCACCATCGTCAACGTCGCCATCATTGCCATCCGCATCATCGCCATCGGTATCATCATGACCATTATCGCCGTCATCATCGACCGCGACATCATCATCACCACCATCATCTTTATCAACATCATAATCACCACCACGACCATCACCATCATCATCATAATCACCACCACCATCATAACCATCAACGTCATCATAATCATCATCATCATCATCATCATCATCATCATCATCATCATCATCATCATCATCATCATCATCTTCATGATCATCATCAGCAGCATCATCAACAACATAATCATCATCATCATCAGCAGCATCATCATCATCATCGTCACCATCGTCATCATCATCGTCATCATCACCATCGTCATCGTCATCATCATCATCGTCGTCATCGTCAACAGTATCGTCAGCATCATCAGCACAATCGACATCACCATCACCATCACCCCCATCAGCATCACCATCGTCATCGCCATCGTTCTGATGACAATCATCATCATCATCATCATCATCATCATCGTCATTATCATCATCCTGAGCATCATCATCACCATCGTCAACATCGCCATCATAATCATCAGCGTCATCGCCATCGATACCATCATTACCATCATCGTCGGCATCATCGTCCGCAACACCATCATCACCACCATCAGCATCATCATCACCACCACCATCATCAGCGGCATCAGCATCAGCAGCATCATCGGCAACACCATCATCAACAAGCACGTCATCGTCATCGCTTTCGTCATCAACATCACCATAACCACCCATCGCCAGCACCACCACGTTCCTCATGCCCCTCGTCCTCGGACACAGTCGGGACCAGCCAGACAAACGTGCATGCACTTCAGCCCAACAGAACATGAGACTATCGCCGACTTACTGACGACGGGAAGGCATCTCACGATGGACCCGATGCTGTTTCCTCCACTTCCTCGGCAGGCACGCCCCGGCCCGCACCGTTCCAAGAAGGGCACCAGGTGCTCCACAACGCCCCTGTCGGTGATCTCCTGCGTAAGACATTGTGTTGTGTTTTTGTGTTTATATATATGTGTGTAAATATATATATATATATATATATATATATATGTATATCGATTAAACAATTATGAGTATTGTTATTATGGGGGGAAAGGAGGAAGAAAGCTGAGGGGACTGGCATCGCGAAGCCAACTGCACAATCCGCGTCCAGACCGTGCAGCATTCCAACTCAGCAGGCTGTCCTGCGAGCGTTATGCATCGTCCAGAGTCATGCCCATAGCAACGGATTGCCTCTCAAATCTCCTGATCATCCTCCTCGCGCTCCCCCGGAGTAGCGCCAATTGGAAAGAAAGAATGCACTCACTCACTCACTCTCGCGCGTGCTGGCCCGGAGGCCATCCCGAAGAGGGGCGCGCGGCGGAGCCTCAGCTCCACGTGACAGCTCACAGCTCACGACTGCATTATTCAAAAAGGCGTCGCATCAACCCATCTCGTCCTGGGTCGTTCTGCCCGCCGCGCGCCTCCAGTGGGCTCCCATGCCAGCGCACGGCGCGCCCAAGAATATATTTCCGACCTTGCAGTCGTCCGAGCCGCTTTGATGCAGCAATCTCCTGAGCTTCGGCCCAATCAGAAATTACGACCTTGTAGATTACGACATCTTTCCTCTAGCTCGCGCGCGGTTCTCTGCAGCCAGTCTGCCCAGGGCTCTAGACTGGATGTTCGCTAGAACATGAACTGGAGTCCGACGTCGTTGACGAGGTACTTCGTGAGACTCTTCCTCGATCATTTGTCAACGACGGCTACCAAGAACCATCCTGAGCATTTTCCGCTGTACTCGGCACACTCTGTCTGTCAGCTCCTGAACCAACACCCAAGTAGCACAAATAATACACCGTGGGCCGAAGTTGTGGTGAGTCGCTTGAATTCCTCTCTGTCTTTCTCCTCCTTCTCCTCCTCCTCCTCCTATTCTGAGTACCTCGCACTTCCCCTGATCCTACTCATCACTATCATCCCGGGCCGCGTGCAGTGTAGCGTAAAATGTGATCGAACATCGGGTGTGCACTCTTTGCGATATTAATCACTCACCATGACCCGCCACAAATATATCTCAGCAACCAGCCCCCCTCATCATCCAACCTCGTTCTCCACCAAACCGCCCCCCACCTCCCCCTCTTCCTCGTACTTGCTACCCTCCTCCCCCAAACCTCCTCCTCCTCTTTGAGTTGTGCGGCCATGGTGCGGGACACTGGATGAGCACCGAACGAGACGGTACCAAATGTTAGAAATAATGCAATGAACGAGATGGGCGATGATAAGGAAATTATGCAGATGCCAACGCGCGAGTGACAGAAGCAACCCAGTGCCCAAACTGGGCAAAGAGCCACGGCAGTGCCAGTGTGACTGGGGCAAGCGATGGCACCGAATAAGAAAGTCGCAGTGAGGCATGCTGGCACGTAGGCGTAGCAGAGGCATGATGAGTGATATCTGGGGGGAAACGAGCGCACAGGCGGGCGCTATCCTCGTCCTCCTCCACCCCTCCCCCTCCTCTCATCATCATCATCATCATCATCATCATCATCATCATCATCATCATCATCATCATCATCATCATCATCATCATCACCACCATCACCATCATCATCATCATCATCATCATCATCATCATCATCATCATCATCATCATCATCATCCTCATCCTCATCATCAACATCATCATCATCAACAGCATCGTCATCATCAGCAGCACCGTCATCATCACCATCATCATCACCATCACAATCAGCATCGTCGTCATTATCATCGTCATCATTATCATCATCATGGTCATCATCATCAGCAGTATCATCATTATCAGCATTACCATCATTACCATCATCATCATCATCATCATCATCAGCATCATCATCATCATTAATAGCATCATCATCGTCATCATCGTCATCGTCATCGTCATCGTGATCACCATCATCGTCATCAGAATCAGCATCGTCATCACCATCATCATTACCAGAATCACCATCATCACCACCATCATCATCGTCATCGTGAGCATCATCATCAGCATAGCCATCATCATCACCATCAGCAGCATCATCATCATCACCAGCACCACCATCATCACCATCATCCACTACGCTCCTCTTCCTCCTCTTCTTCCTGTCTGCTCCTCCTCCCCCTCATCCCCCGCATTCCACTCTTCATCTCCGCAATCACATCCCTCCTCCTCCTCCTCATCCTCCTCTTTCTCCTCCCCTTCTTTCTCGGGTGGCCTCGGTTCCCTCCTGGTGGTAAAGCCAAGGGGGCCACGCACACGAGACCAAGAGAGACGCTTCAGGCAACAAGAGGATGAGGAAACAAGAGAGAGGAGAAGGGGAAAACAAATTCTTCTTCACCTCATGTTCCTTTCTGTATGGTCCTCCTCTCCTCCTCCTCCTCCTCCTCCTCCTCCTCCTCCTCCTCCTCCTTTACTTCCTTTCCCAATTGTCATCTTCATCCTCCTTTTCCTTCTGGCTCTCCTTTCGTCCCGTTACGTTTCCTCTCTTTCTCCTCCTGGTGTTTTTCTCCTACTAGAAGTAGGGGTACAGGGTAGAAAGAGATGGCTCACGGTGAAAAGAAAAGACGACAGTAGGAATAACACGCGTGTAAGACGGGCACGCCAGGTTAATATTTAACGTGCCCCGGAGCAACACTGCAGCAGAAAAGAGAAACGATTAGCAAACTCGGATGTACCAAGCAGCGTGTGGTACTTTCTGCCCCGGGGGCAATATGCATGATATACCGTTCGAAACTGGTGCTGAAACGAGACTGTGCAAACCACACCAAAACAAGCGAAGCAAAAAGATCAGCTACGCTGAAAAAGGACGTTATGCAGACCATGTCCTTCATACATTACCCGTGGACGCACCCAACCCTTTTGCACCCATAAGGCACCAGACATAGGACCGTTCAATACAATTAAACATGCTGAAGGACCCGCAGTGCACATGAGCTCCCAGAAGTTCGCAATAAAGTCGACAAGAATGAGCAAGATAGAGATGTATACAGAGACATGCATAAGGGCGCGAAAGAGGGACATACACGCTCAGTAACAGCAACAGCGCCGCGCGCTACATGCCCGGGAAAGAGCAGCGCCATGCGCGCGCCCTATAGCAGAACAGCGCGTCGCGCTGACCGAGGCAAGCGCGCGGGGTGGCATGGCGGGCCAGCATGGTCCCAACTTGATCCCCGTACAACTCTACTACGCTGGACCTCCCAAGACCCCACGAAAATGGCGACAATTGACCATTTCGCAGTACCCTAATGACCCGCGAGATCCCAACTGCATCCCCGTACATCTCCACTCCACGCGGCCTGCCAGGGGCCCACGAACGTGAGGTTGGTTGCGCACTTCGCAGCCCCCCAGGGAGCCGTGATGTCCCAACTGGATCCCCATTCAACTCCACTCCGCGCGACCTCCCAGCGGCGGCAGTTGCTCACGTCGAAATCCCGCAAGGAGCCGCGAATTCCCTGGTGGATCCCCGTGCAACTCCACTCCGCGCGACCTCCCAGGAACCCGTGAAACTGGCAACAATTGCGCGCCTCGCGGCCGCGCAGGGAGCCGCGAGGTCCCAACGGGTCTGTGCACCACTCCACTCCGCTGGACTTCCCAAAGGGCCCACGAAAGTGGCGACAGTTGCGCATTTCGCAGCCACGCAGGAAACCGCGGGGTCCCAACTGGGTATGCGTAGCGCTCCACCCCACTGGACCTCCCAGGAGCCCACGTAAGTGGCGACCGTTGCGCAACTCGCAGCCACGCAGGAGGCGGCGAGGTCCCAACTGTGTATGCGTACCCGACAGTTGCGCAACTCGCAGTCACGCAGCGAGCCGCGAGGTCCCAACTGGGCCTGCGTAGCAATTTCACTCGGGTGAACCTCCCAAGAGCCCACGACATTGGAGACAGTTGCGACATCCGCAGCCCCCCACTGACCCGCGAGGTCTCGGCTGAGTCTGTTTACAACTCTACCCCGCTGGACCTCCCAGGGCCCACGAAATTGGAAACAATTGCGCAATTCGCAGCCCCCCGGTGGCCCGCGAGGTCTCGGCTGAGTCTGTTTACAACTCTACCCCGCTGGACCTCCCAGGGCCCACGAAATTGGAAACAATTGCGCAATTCGCGGACCCCCGGTGGCCCGCGAGGTCTCGGCTGGGTCTGTTTACAACTCCACCCCGCTGGACCTCCCAGGAGCCCCGCTCCAAGACTGCTCAAGAAGCTCCTAAGACCGCCAAAAAACACCCAAGAACCGCTCCAAGATTGCCCAAGACGCTCCAAGATTGCCCAAGAAGCGCTCAAGACGGCCCAAGAGGGCTCCAAAACGGCCCCAAGAGGAGCCCAAGCAGGGGACCACGAAGCGAACATTCTACATTCGTGTCCCGAGAAGACCCCAGGAGGCCCCAAGAGGCCGCCAAGAGGCTCCAAGAGGCCCCAAGAGGCGCCCAAGACGCTCCCAAGAGGCCTCCAAGAGGCCAAACAGGTACCCCACGAGGCCCCAAGAGGCACCCAAGAGGCGCCCCAACCGCCTCCAAGAGGCCCCCGAAAAAAGGCTACCGACAATACCCCAACACACACGTTGTGTACATACATATATATATATATATATATATATATACAGGACTGCAGTGGCGCTTCGCGCCATGCACCTTGGTCCTTGAAGATTGCAACGCAGGCGGAAAAGGCAGAAGGTCAAGAGGACACTTTAACGATAACTCCTTGCTGCCTGTTTCTGGCATCGCTTTTATAATGATGTTGTTCGTTATCCTTCATCCACGCTTATTTTTCCTCATTCTCGCCATACCCTGGGCATTCTTCCCACCATCCTCAGCTCTTTTTGCGGAGGATCCTCCTTGGAGAGCCTCTGGGAGCCTCACCAAACTTCTCAAGCTTTCTTGAAGCCTTCTGGAAGCCTCCTGGGCGTGTTCTGGGGGCCTCCGGGGCTTCCTAAGGCCAACCTGCCTCTAACCGCGGTCTCCCTGAACGCCCTGGTCACGATTTGGAATGCTTCGGAGGGTGTCTTGGGGCCATCTTGGGCCGCCATGGGGCTCTCTTAAAGCCATTTTGGACCCCTGGTGTGCCGTTTTGGGGCTCTCTTGGACTGCCTGGAAGCCCTTTCGGATGGCTGTGGGGTGATTTTGGGATTTCCCAGGCGACTTCGGACGCCCAGAAGACCGCTGTCTTGGAGCGTCGGAAAGCCCTCAGAGGAGAACCCCAAATTCTCCAAAAACCTACATTGAATCAGTGATTGTTCCCTCTTGGGGCCTTCTTGGGGGTGCTCTTGGAGGCCTCTTGGTACGTTTTGGAGCGATCTTTCAGGCTATGACGGCTTCTTGGAGCGCTCTTGTGCTGTCTTAGGGTTCTCCAGGACGTCTCCGATGACCCCCTCTGATCGCCCTAGGTGTGCTGCGAAGGCTTGGCAAAACGCCCTGCGAGGCCCGGGGGGCCACTTCGAGGCCCGTCCGAAGGGTCCCAAAGCCCCAGATCCCGGGAGTCCGTTTTTTTTGGGGGGGGGTGACGGGTTTTCCCCCCGCCCGGGCTTGCAAAAATATAGGAAGAGGAATATGTTTATGTGTGTATAAACATATATACACATAGACATCCATACATAGATATACAGACAGACATACATACATACATACATATATACATAAATACATACATACATACATACATGCATAAAATTGGTGTATGACCCACAAGCCAGGCAAGGCGGCGGGGATAACGCCAAGGTGTCAACATGCGCTGGTGACTCCTATCCTCCCCCGCGTGATGTTCCCAGATGCGCCAAGGCAACGCCGAGACGCACCGACGCGACTCTGATATATCGCATTCTGATGGAGAGCGGACCGGGTGCAAGGGGCGAAGCCTTTGCGGATATGACCACCATGGATGAGCACAGCCACTGGCCACTCGCCCGCGCACTCGCGAGCTATGCCAGTCAACCGAGACGAGACGTAGGTCAATTGACGAAACTCATCGAAGTCTGGGTTCGCCACTGACCGAATGTTTACATCCCGCACCCATCGTTGGAAGGGCACGCGGGCCTTCTGCTCGGGCCCCCCAGGTGCGGAGGGTCGCATGTTGCCGCTGCCGCCGCCGCCCGCGTCCACGCAGGCGACGCAGCTGATGGCAGCGACCATGCGCACCCCGATGGCCTTCCATTCAAAGTGGAGCCCCCCCATGTGCGAGGAGGCGTGAAAGCCCTGGTTCCCGCCAGCGGCGATGTTCCGGCAATGATCCTCGGAGCCGTCGTGGGTATTAGTCCGTGGCACGTTCCTCCTTGTCAGCGTATTGGGTGTATTTGCTCTTTCGTGCGATTGGAGCGCTGGCTGCACTCCGAGCACTCCGACACATATTGGAGAAAAACTCGTCGCGAGTCGCATTGTCATTGTACTGAACGCTGCCACTTGTCCGGTAGTCAAGAAGAGTACGCATAAGGGGTTCAAGTCTGCCAAGAAAAAAGGGATGCGTAGGTACCGTTGAAGCCATGCCGTGGATAACCGATAACGAGTAGCTCCAAGCTTGTGTAATGGGCCCCGAGGCAACGTAATTGCCCGACCCTCCTCTGCATTCCCGCTCGAGCCTGCGCGCGCTTCCCCCGGCTTCCAAAACACAATTGCGCACAAGCCAAGGCGCTTTGTCGACGCCGACGCTGTGAACGTCGGGTCGAACGACTGCTTGAGATGGTCGGCTACACCCACATGTGGATGCAATGACGGCGATGCGTCCTTTGCCTCTTCCCCCTCGGGCTCCCGCAGCACAGCTGCGAACAGGTCGGGGCCCACGGGCGAGTGTCGCGAAGACGTGAGAACCCCGAGCATCTCGAACACAGGTCGAGAGTACTCGAGGGGACGAGCTGGCTGGCGGGGGGAGCGGTCCGTGATACTGATGTTTTGGTAATGGTAAATGTGCTCGCCCCCAAAAGTCAAACTTGGCGGCGGGGCGGCATCGGCGCCGCCGGCCGCGGTGATCAGGTAGAAGAGCACGAACACGGTGAAGACGATCGAGCGCGAGATCGGCGCAGCTGGAGGAATAACACGTTGATTTTGACGCGGTAATCATTGAAGTGGTTGTATTACACGGCAGGGTGGTGGAGCCCTCGCCATCGAAGGAGGGCAGCGGGAGGAAGCCATCGCGGCCGCGAGAAGGAGCAGAAACCTGCTCCGCTACCGACAAGAACTAAGGGGTACAGCGAGGAAGGCACCGTTTTACGGCGCAAAAAATAAAACGAAATTATGAATCACACACGTATAAGACGGGCACATCAAATTAACCTTGACGCGCCCCAGAGCAAAACGGCACCGGAAAAGGAGACGATTAGCAAACTCAATAATACCACGCAGCGTGTGGTATTTTCTTTCTCGGCGGCAGCATGCATGATATACCGTTCGAGTCTCCTGGAGAAGATGGCCCAAAGAGAAGAAGAGTGATGAGGGGCGATCGGAGACGAGGATCAAGAGGAGGGGAAAGGCGAGGATGGCCAACGCAAAAAGAGCATCATCTGGGGAAGGGGAGTGTGGAGGGAGACAGGAGAAGTGGACGATGATGACTCAAAACATCAATGGTGATGCAAGCAGCAAACATCTGCAGCAGAGTCGGCAAGCCTTGTTGTCCGAAAGGTCGACATCGTACTTGTGGCACGGCTTGGACCCGCGAACTTTCCTCCGCCCACGGCGGGTCGCAACGGCCCATTCCTTCGAACAGAGCGGTATCGCCGAAGATGGCGAATATTACCTCTGGAGCGGGAGTGACATTCTGGACTCCTCCGCCGATCCCTCACACCCATGCGCGGCTGGAGTGAGTTTACAGACCCTCCTTGCGCCTGCGATTCCAATCCCCACTGTGGGGACTGGAATCGCAGGCGGTGTGTGGGGACCCCACACACAAACCCTTGCACTGCTGCGTCTCCTCGTCCCCAGAGAAGGGGAAGGGGAACGTGGAAGAAGAGGAGGCGTTATCCGCCGATCTGGCGTGTGAGCTTACAAAAGCTACAGCCTGAGCTTCAGCTCTGTCGGGGGGGGGGCCAGGGTGGCGTTGCCGGGGAAAGGGGGGAGGGGGGGGTCTTCCCTTGCCCGTGGGGGGGGGGCTCTTTCGTGCCCAGGAGAGCCCCAACACGGGCCAAGAGGACCCCTCCCAAGACGGCCGCAGAGGGCCCCGAGTCGTCAAACGATCGGTCCAAGACGCCAAAGCTGGCCTCCGTACATAGGGGCTTCCAAGACGCCCGAAGAAGCTTCCAACAGGGCTCCCAAGAGGGCCCCAAGAGGAAATTCGCCGGCCCAACGGGCCAGAGGCGTGCTAAGATCTCCGGTAACAGGTTAACGTTCTTTATAGTTCGCGCGCGCGCGTGGCGGCCCCTGGGGACCCCTGGACAAAAAGTACCCCGGCCGATGCCCGGGCGATGCCTGGCTGACTCCCCCAGGGCGCTCCAGGAGCGCGACAGAGAGCGTGAGAAAGGCCAGGGCGACAGCGTGATTCCTAAGGGTAGGAGGCGCGACGCTTGAATAACTTACAAGGAAATCCCACGCGAGAGCGCGATTCCAGCCCAAAATCTGAGAACGTCCCGCGCGAGAGCGCGATTTCGAAATACACGATAAAGAAGTATCAACCGGGAGCCGTTGTTGTTTTAGTTCGGGGGGCAACAACGCAGTTTACTGACCCTTCCCTCTCATAAAAAGACAATTTAGAATAATGAAATTTAAAAGAGGTGACAGCCCGGGGAAGAGCAATTCAATTGAACAGATGCACTTGTTACCCGGGAAGGGGATCAACAATAGCCATTTCGTAGAAGTGAGAATCAAACAACAACAGCAACAACAATCACAACAACAACATCATCAACAACAACACCAAGCATTTTAAATACGGTTCGCTCTTATATGTTCGAGTGCCATCCTCCAACGTGTATTTCCTAAACCCTCGATACCCGCCCTCTTCGTCTTCGATCGTCCCCTTTTGGGGGGGTATACTTCTTCCCTGCAAGGCGAGCCCTGGAAAGCGGCGGGGCGGCCGCGGACCGTCGGCCTGGTCAGCGGCAGCGCTAACTGGCGGCAGCCCGACCCCAAGAGGGACGGACAGGGGACCGACGACGACGAGAACGACGCCGACGCCGACGACGGCGACGAGCGAAAGCGAGAGCGAGAGCGGGGCCACGAAGAGAATGCGTCTGGCGCCACGAAGGGCGCGAACGAGCGGGGGCCACGAATGGCAGATAATGCGGGGCCACAGAAGGCAACAACAGGGCCACTGAGGGTAGCAACGGGGCCGCGTAGGACAGCGAGGGACCACAAAGAGCGACAGCGGGGCCACGAAAGGCATGCATATGGAGCCACGACGGGCGCGAACGAGCGGAGGCCACGAAGGGCATACGTATACTGGGCCGCAGAGGGCAAGGACGGGGCCACTGAGGGCAGCAACGGGGCCACGAAGGGCAGCGAGGGTGCCACGAAGGGCGACAGCGAGGCCACGAAGCGCATGCATATGGGGCCACGACGGGCGCGAACGAGCGGGGGCGACGAAGGGAATCCATATATGGGGCCACGAACGGCAGCGAGGGGGCCACGAAGGGCTGCAACGGGGCGACGAACAGCAGCGAGGGGGCCCCGAAGGGCTGCAACAAGGCGACGAAGGGCAGCGAGGGGGCCCCGAAGGGCTGCAACGGGTCCACAAACTGCAGCGACGGGGCCACGAAGGGCTGCAACGGGGCCACAAACAGCAGCGAGGGGGCCACGAAGCGCTGCGACGGGGCGACGAAGGGCAGCGAGGGGGCCACGAAGGCTGCAACGTGGCCGCGAAGGGCAGCGAGGGGGCCACGAAGGGCTGCAACGGGGTCACGAACGGCAGCGAGGGGGCCACGAAGGGCTGCGACGGGGCGACGAAGGGCAGCGAGGGGGCCACTAAGGCCTGCAACGGGTCCACGAAGGGCTGCAACGGGGCAACGAAGGGCATCGAGATCCCGATGCCTGAATAAGCTGCGAAAGGGGTCCTGAACGTGAGCGCGACCCCTGGGTGCCTGCCGGGAGCGCGGCGCCTGAATACATTGCGGGGAATTCCAACGCAAGAGTGCGATTCTCAAGTAATTTGCAAATCAATCTCCACCTAGAGTGCGACTCCTGAGCGCCGAGAGAGCGACTCCTTATTAAAATACTAAGAAATCCTTGGCGCGAGCGCGACTCCTGAGCGCCGAGAGAGCGATTCCTCAACAAGTGGCACGCGTGCCCTGGCTCTTGCATAAAGGAGCTGCGTAGGACTGGGAAGCCTGGACGGAGGAAGGCTGGACGGAGGAAGGCTCCGACGGGTGGGTGGCTCAGGGGAGCTGGGGCTCAGGCTCGGGGGGGAGGGGGGGGCGAGGGGGACGAACCACCACGAGCCACGAACGAAAGTCAAGGGTTCCGCGGCCCAGGGGGGCTGCCCTGGGAAGCCTGGACGGAGGGGGGGTCCCAAGGGGGGGGGGGGGCAGGGGAGCTGGGGCGCAGGCTCAGGGGAGAGGCCGAGGGGGACGAACCACGACGAACCACGAACCACGACGAAAATAAGGATGTCCGCGGCCCAGGGGTGCTGTCCTGGGAAGCCTGGACGGAGCAAGCCTCCGACGGGTGGGTGGCCCAGGGGAGCTGGGGCGCAGGCTCAGGGGAGGGGCCGAGGGGGACGAACCACCACGAGCCACGAACCACGACGAAAATAAATGATTCCGCGGCCCAGGGGGGCTGCCCTGGGAAGCCTAAACGGAAGGGGGGTCCCAAGGGGGGGTGGCCCTACGACGAAAATGATAGGTTTCGCGGCCCAGAGGGGCTGCCGTGGGAAGCCTGGACGGAGGGGGGGTCCCAAGGGGGGGGGGCCCGGGGAGCTGGGGCTCAGGCTCAGGGGAGGGGTCGATGGGGACGAACCACGACGAACCACGAACCACGACGAAAATAAGGATGTCCGCGGCCCAGGGGTGCTGTCCTGGGAAACCTTGACGGAGCAAGCCTCCGACGGGTGGGTGGCCCAGGGGAGCTGGGGCGCAGGCTCAGGGGAGGAGCCGAGGGGGACGAACCACCACGAGCCACGAACCACGACGGTTCTCAAGGGTTCCGCGGCCCAGGGGGGCCTGGACGGAGCAAGCCTCCGAAGGGTGGGTGGCCCAGGGGAGCTGGGGTTCAGGCTCGGGGGGGGGGAGGGGGACGAACCACCACGAGCCACGAACCACGACGAACAAAAAAAAAGGTTCCGCGGCCCAGGGGGGCTGCCCTGGGAAGCCTGGACGGAGGGGGGGTCCCAAGGGGGGGTGGCCCAGGGGAGCTGGGGCTCAGGCTCAGGGGAGGGGCTGAGGGGGACAAACCACGAACCACGACGAAAATACGGATGTCCGCGGCCCAGGGGTGCTGTCCTGGGAAGCCTTGACGGAGCAAGCCTCCGAAGGGTGGGTGGCCCAGGGGAGCTGGGGCTCAGGCTCAGGGGAGGGGCCGAGGGGGACGAACCACCACGAACCACGAACCACGACGATAATACAGATGTCCGAGCTCTAGAGCACAGCTGTCCAAGATAATAAATTGTGATGAAATCCCAAGCGAGAGCGCGATTCCTGAGTAAAATGCGAGGAAGTCTCAGGCGGGAGCGGGGGTCCTGACTAAATTGCGAGGAAGTCTTAGGTGGGAGCCGTTGTTGTTGTAACCCAGGGGCCAAGGGCACATTTTGACCCCCGTGACTTTTTCCCTAATAAAAGACAAGGTGCGAGCCCCGGGGGAAGCATTTCAATCGAAGAATACACCAGGGTCACCGGAGGGGGGATCAACCATAATTATTATTGCAGTGAGAGTTCCACAACAACAAACACATTAAGACTGTTCGCTCCTATCTGCTCGAGTGCCATTCAACACGTATATGCCAGACCCTCCAGTACCCGCCCCCGCTCTCTTGGTCTTCGATTGCACCCTTTTGGGAATATATCGTCATTGCCTGCCACGTGGATTCAGCGCAGCCCCTACGACAGGGGCAAAGAGGACGGATGGAAAGGGTGAGGGGGACGGATAGAGCACGGGAGAAATTTGCAGGAGAGAGGCTAGGAGCAGAAAACACGTGGCAGAACCAGACGGGCAGATCGGGCGGGCTGACCCTTGCGGGCCGGTCGGGAAGGCGAGCCCAGGAGACCAGGTCGAGCACGCAGGTTGCTGAGACGTGAGTCCTGCATGAATCGCGAGGAAGTCTCGAGCGATAGCGCAATTTCCAAGTAAATCGTGAGGACAGCCTAGCGAGAGAGTCATTCCTGAGCGTCGAGGGAGCGGCGTCTGAATAAATTGGGAGGAAATCCCACGCGAGAGCGCGACTCCTGCATAAATTGCCAGGAACTCCCGCGCGAGAGCGAGGTTTTGGAATACATTGTGAACATGAATAAGGCGGAACCCGTTGTAGTTGTAGTTCGGGGCGCGACTACGCAGTTTGAGCAGGACCACTTTCCTTGATAAAAGAAGTGCGAACCCCGAGGGGGGCACTTCAGTCAAAAACACAATGTGCACCGGTGTGGGCGGATCAACAACAAGTATTTTTCAATCATGGAAATCCAACCAAAAAACGCACCTATCTGCTCGCGTGATGTACAACAAGTATATCCCAAAGCCTTGGTATCCGCCCTCTTCTTTTTCGATCGTACCCCCTTTGGGGGTATATCTTCCGCATGTAGCACAGCCCCTGAAGCAGCAGAAGAGAAGACAGATGGAAGGGGGAGGGAAAAGGATGGAACACAAGAGATATTAGCAAGAGGGGGGGCTAGGAGCAAAAAGCCCGTGGCAGAACCAGTCGAGCAGATCGGGCGGGCTGACCCGTGCGGGCCGGTCGGGAAGGCGGGCCCAGGCGGCCAGGTCGAGCAAGCGGGCTGCTGAAGCGTGAGTCCTGCATGGATCGCGAGGAAGTCTCGAGCGATAGCGCTTCACTTCTGAAGAATAATTCCTGAGAAATTCCTCCACCGGTGCACATTGTATTTTTCAAATGAATCTGGGAAATTACTCCTGTTCAAAATGGGGCCATGGCCCCCAGGCTACAACAACAACGGCTCCCGCTTGATACTTCCTTACAATGTATTTCGAAATCGCGCTCTCGCGCAGAACATCCTCACGATGTATGCAGGAATCGCGCTCTCGCGTGTGACTTCCTTGAAATCTATTCAGACGCCGCGCCCTCGACACTCAGAAATCACGCTCTCGCGTTGGCCCTTCTCACGATTTACTTAGGAATCGCGCTATCGTTCGAGACTTCCTCGCGATCCATGCATGACTCACGCTTCAACGACCCGCCTGCTCGACCTTTCCGCCTGGGCCCGCCTTCCCGACGCGCCCGCTAGGGTCTGCCCGCCAGATCTGCTGGTCTGGTGCTACCACGTGTTTTCTGCTCCTAGCCTCTCTCCTGCAAATTTCTCTCGTGCTAAATCTTTCTCCATCCCCTTCCATCCGTCGTCTCTTCCCCTGTTCTAGGAGCTGTGCTGCATTCGCGTGGCAGGTGAGGAAGATGTACCGCCAAGGGGGTACGATCGACGACGAAAAGGGCGGGTACCGAGGGTTTGGGATATACGCGTTGAGTGGCACGCGAGCAGATAGGAGCGAACAGTCTTAACATGACTGTTGTGGTTGTTGCTGTCATTCAGGGCCCAGCGACGCAGTTTGAGCACGAATACGTTCCTCGATTAAACAACAATGTGCAAACCCCGAGGGGGGCACTTCAATCGAATAACACAAGATGTGCACCAGTGAGGGCAGATAATCACGAGGTATTTCCAAGACTGAGAATTCAACAGCAACGACGACAACAACACCAACGCCAACAACAACACTAACAATATCAGCAATAACAGCAGCAACACAAACAAGAGCCACAACCACAACCACAACAACAATGGCAATAATAGCATCATCAACAGCATCAACAGCATCAACAACGACAACATCAACAACGCAACAATAATCCGCACCGCGGAACCACTCTTCAGCCACGCACCTGGGGACAGTGAATGACGGTTCAGCGCCCTCACTGAGATATGTGTATGCGTATCACATCATGTATGTATGCATGTATGTAGATGCATCTATAAATTACAGTACCTTATAGATAAAGGGGGAAAGGGCACGCGTGATGACCCTCATACTTACCCAAGAACGGATCGTTAGCATGCAGGCGAAGGAAGAAGTGGCAGGAAACATGTGGGAACGACAATGCCGACTGCAAATAACGACCATGACATTTGGATGAGAGGTGTCTTCCCGACGACAACATTCTCTGCGCAGCCTTACTTGACGTGGGAGAAAGAACAGTACCTGGACGAGTCGAGTGCCAACGCGCGTCCAGTGGAGATGCTTCAGCGCCTCTTCCAAATACACAAATAAACCAGGCAAATCTTTATCTCGCATCCCAGACCTGTGCAAAGGCGCTTTGAGACCGACAACAGAAATAAGCATCACCATGCAACTGAAGCCGACTCGCCACGCAAACACATGGCACTCGTGCGGTTCGCCGGCGCGCTTCCTCTCAAGTTCTGAAGCACAAAGCAAAGCAATGGCATAACACTGATGCGTCTCGCTTCCCTCGGACGCCGCCATATCATCCTCCACAATCCTCCATCCTCCTCATCCCCCTCCCCCTGCCGAGTGGACAAATCAATGCATTGTTCTCCTCCTCCTCCTCCTCCTCCCCCTCCTCCTCCTCCTCCTCCTCCTCCTCCTCCTCCTCCTCCTCCTTAGCATGGTCATCATCATCGAGGTCGTCAGCATTATGACCACCATGGTCACCATCACCATCACCACATCCACCACCATCATCATCATCATCATCATCATCATCATCATCCGCAGCAACAGCAACTGCATCATCACCATCATCATCATCATCATCATCATCATCATCATCAGAATCAACATCATCACCATCATCACAATCACCAACACCATTGCCATCACAATCATACTCGCCATCATGATAATCATCATCAACAACATCATCATCATCCACATCATCATCAGCCTCATCATTGTATTAATCAGCATCATCACATCACCATCGCCATCATCGTCATCGTCATCGCCATCGTCGCCATCACCATCATCAACAGCATCATCATCGTCATCATCGTCATCGCCATCATCATCATCATCATCATCATCATCCCTACCCCTCCACTTTCTCTCCCTCCTCCTCTCTCCATCGCCCTCGTCCTGGCCACGCTCACGTGCCCCTTTTCCCTCCCAAAGTACCCCAATAACGCAAGTCCACTGGCGAGGACAACAGAGGTCACGGAATGGTCCCCCTCGCCCAACAAATGTGCTACAACACTGAGAGTTGTCCGACGTACAACGGCGGCAGAGCAACGATGACATGACGAGCGAGGTGGGAAGAGGGAGGGAGGATGGGGGGGGGAGAAAGAGGGGATGCGGGAAGAAGGAGGACAACGGCGGAGGAAGGGGGTAAAAAAGTGGAGGCGAGGGACGAGGGGCGCTGGGACGAAGGAGGAAGGTGGAGAACCGATGGGGGCACGCAGAGGCAACTCCAAAAGACGCAGGCACTCGCAAGAGAGCCTGGCCTGGTGAGCATCACCGCCACGGATGCATCCTGACGGGCCGCAGTGGGCTTCGCAAAATCCGACATTGCAGGGCTCAGGGGAACAGCCAGGTCAACGCTGGGCTCCAAAGCAGTCGCTCGAGCGCCGCTGGAGCCGCCCGAGCACTGACCTGACCAATCACCCTTGGATTTGCTGCCCCAGGCCACAATGAGTCAGATCAGCAGTCGGGCCCCCCAGGCATCACCTGTAGAGACTCGGCCGACCCGAAAGCTGCCCAGACCTGCTTTGAACCCGAGCACTGGAACACGCAGCGCACACATGTCTCGGATGGGGGTGGTCGACGCTCAGCACGCCGCACAATACACAATCTGTATATATATATATATATACTAGAACCATTGCGCGCGAAGCGCGCGCGCTCAGGTTCTGGCCCCAGGCCTTGACGAATTCACTGCTCCACTGAAGTAGTGGACCAGTCCACGCATGCCAATCTGCATTCCGACCGGCGCCCGCTGGAGGGCCGCTTTTCATCCTAAATAAACCTCCGGCGGGCCCTGGCGGACTGGAACCAAACGGTCCCCCGGGGCCGAAACCCAAGATCCCAAGAAGACGGCCCACCGCCCGCCAAGGTCGTCTTTGCACTGCCGTGGGCCGTTCTTGCAACTTCGGCGCAGGGCAGCGGGGCTCTCGGAAGGGAGGAGAGAGGAAGGGAGCGGAAAGGGAAGGGAGGGAGGGGCTTCTTGGGCCGTTTTGGGACTCTCTTGGGGGCCTCTTGTGCCGTCGTCACGGCTGTGAAGACCGACAAGTCGTACATGCTAAGAATATACGTTTTCCGATGCAAATCAATGATTTTGGTTTCTTGGGACCCTCTTGAAAAGCCTCTTGGGGGCCTCTTGAGGCGTCTTCGCGCTCTCTTGGGCACTGTGAGAACCGTCTTGGGCGTCCAAGGGCTAGCTTTGCGCGCTCCGGGGCCGCCATGTAACGTTTTGAGAGCCTCACGGGGCCCTCTGGCCACGCCTTGGCCACTCCTCAGGCTGTCTTGGGCCGTGTGGGTAGTCTATTGGGGCCGTCTTTGGGGCCTCTTGTGCCGTCGTGCACGCCAGGAAGACCGAAAAGTCGCAGATGCTACAAATGTACGTTTTCCTATGCAAAAGCAATGATTTTGGCCGCTTGGGGTTCCCTTGGGAAGCTTCCTGGGGCGTCGTCGCGGCCTCTTGGGCTCTATAGGAGCCATATTGGGTGCCCAGGGGTGATCTTTGAGAGCCCTGGGGCCGTCTTGGACCGATTTGGGAGCCTCTTGGGGTTCCGTGGACTCGTCTTGGCCGCCTGTTGAGCACGCCCTGGCCCTGGGGCTGTCTTGGGTTCCTCTAGGGCCGTGTTGGGGGCCTCTTGGGCCGTCTTGGGGCCGTCGTGGGGGCCTCGTGTGCCCTCGTGCACGCCGTGAAGACCGAAAAAACGTAGATGCTACAAATGCACGTTTTCCTGTGCAAAATCAATGATTTGGGCCGCTTGGGGCTCTCTTGGAAAGCAGCTTGGGGCGTTGTAGCGGCTCAGTGGGAGCCATCTTGAGCGCCTAGGGGCGATCTTTGAGCGCCCCAGGGCCGTATAGGACCGGTTTGGGGGCCACTTGCGCCTCCCTGGGCACGTCTTGGCCGCCTCTTGGCCCGGACAGGAACGCTCCCAGAGCCCCGGAGCGGCCATGGGGGGCGCAGGTACTGGCCTGGCGGCCCCGATCCCCTTCCGCCGGCAGACTCTGGGGCTGTCTTGGGCTCCTCTTGGGCCGTGTTGGGAGCCTTTTGGGCCGTTTTGGGGCCGTCGTGGGGGCCTCTTGTGCCCTCGTGCACGCCGTGAAGACCGAAAAGACGAAGATGCTACAAACGCACGTTTTCCTATGCAAAATCAATGATTTTGGCCGCTTGGGGCTCTTGGAAAGCAACTTGAGGCGTGGTAGCGGCTTCTTGGGCTCAATGGGAGCCATCTTGAGCGTCCAGGGGCGATGTTTGAGCGCCCCAGGGCCGTCTAGGACCGGTTTGGGGGCCACTTGCGCCTCCCTGGGCACGTCTTGGCCGCCCCTTGGCCCAGACAAGAGCGCTCCCGGAGCCCCGGAGCGGCCATGGGGGGCGCAGGTACCGGCCTGGCGGCCCCGATCCCCTTCCGCCGGCAGATATATACATATATATATATATATATACACAACGTCTGGACAATATCCCGTTCGCATGGGCATGAATGCTCTTGACTCTTGATCCTCTCCCAATGACAGACAAGAAACAAACTCATGACTACCTTTTTGCCAGAAAAATGAAGCATGCCGGCGCACGAGTCCCGGACAATGACGTAAGGGCTCCAATCCCATTGTTCCTGAGAAGGGCGCGAGCTTGAGACACCAAGGGAGGGACGACCCCAAGTGAGATACAAACTCTGTGCCAGAATGAGCCATGCCGAAAACCTGCGCTGAATAACTCCTCGGTGCTCATTGGCCTCTGATACTGAAATTCTGATCCGCACACAGGCATTTCGACCATGTCATGATGAACAACTTATGCAATGATGACATTGTCATCATTGCATAAGCTGTTCAGACGTCATGCCGGTTTTGCCGATGGCAGAATGTCGCAACCAAGTCAGCGATGGCAATGTAATGTTTGCAAATGCGTGACAATCGGAAGAAGAATACCAGCGCGCAACTCTCCGGCTCGTCTCACAAGAATCACCGTTGCCCCGGGTTGAAAATCGAGGCTGGGTGCATGAGTCGACACGAGCACGCTAAAAACTGGCACAGCAATCCGCTCATGAACGCGTGAAAATGAAGAATCGTTTACAGGCCAGGCGCCGCGGACCCATGGGCATGGTGCCAGCGCGTGGAACCCGAACTATGGATCATACCGCTCCAGATGTGCAAGCTGTTTGGTGCAACTACACCTGAGGCGCCATGCACCACCGTGGCAAAAAATCCATCACCGTTCAAGCCCGTCTCCCCCTGATGATTCCTAACATGCCGTGCCGCTCGCGGTGGTCTCGGCAGAAAAATGTCGGTCCCTGCATGGCTCGGACCTCTGTTAGATCAAAGCGGGACCGGGAACCACTCCGCGCCGCACCACCCAAACCATCGCGCGGGATGCGGCCTCGCGCGAAGCAGGCACTACTCCTCCTACCCAGCCTACTCCACGGAGCCCCAGCAGCTGCGAGGCAGGACTGACGATAACTTTCGCCAGGGCGAGAGGGGCCGCCGAACGAGAGGAACCAACCACAGGGCACCAGCCATAGTGCGCCGCAGTGCACCGACCACAAGCACCAACCTCATGGCAGCCCGTCAGGGCACCAACCAAGAGGCACGAACCTCGGTCGGAGCAGCGCGAGCTGAGGCATCGGCAGCTCGAAATCGGCCCCCAGACTCCTCACGGGGTCCAGGCGCACCAGTTTTCCCGGCAGCGTCCAGCTGTAGCGGCGGGGGGGCCCCCCAGGAGGTCAACTAGCGTTGCCCTCACCCTGAGATCCGACGGCGCGAAACATGCAACATCGTGAAAACCACGACCAGGGCCCCAGATCCCATCTGTCTGCCACACTGCTCGAGGCGGATCGACCTGTGAGGGCCTCGGGGCCCGAACGTGAGGCGAAAGCGCCCGGCGGCCCCAGAGGGCCAACTGACCTCCTCTGGACTCGCCCTCCTCCGACATGGGGCACCGTTGGGCACCCAGCCACAGAGCACCGACCATCAGGCACCGGGACGAAGGCGAACAGGGCGCACCAAGCACAGGGCACCATCCCGCAGGGAGCGCCCCGCGCGCGAAGGGTAGGCTGCGCACGACCGGCCCAGCACCAGAGTGCAGGCACTGTTTGCATCGGCTACACGCAAGAGTGACCTACAACAAAGCCAGGACGAGGATGAAATCAGGTGAGGACACATTCGGGAATATCTAAGGTCTGGCGGCTCTGGAACATGTCTTGGGGCGCCGCGGCCTTCCCAGAGCGTTCCGGAACGCTCTGAAAGCGTTCCGGAACGCTCTGGAACGGATTTATCCTCGTCCCAATTAGCCCCGCCCGATGATCCTAGACAAGCGTGACCTTTGGTGCGCGACGTTCGGAGGCCGCTGGGAGGCCAAACCCGAGCGCGCGAGAGGCTGCTATCGCATCGCGTTCGGTCGTCTGGGGACCACAGTGTGCCTGGACCAAAGGTCACTCTGGCGAAAGGTCAATCTTAAGTGTAGCCGATTGCATAACTGTGCTGTGGGAAGCCTTTGCTCAGCGTGTCGCGGCGGCGGCCCCAGCGACACGATATGCCATGCGAGCTGACCGCGCGTCGCTCCGCTCCGCGGGGCGGGAGGCTTCGAAAGGCTCGGGACGTTGACGCTCGGGGACGGGAAAGAAACCAGCGGCGCGACACGCTAAACAAAAATTGCTGACCGTCGAGCTTTTGTTCGCGATCGTGTGGCGGCGGCATCTACCAGCGCTGACTCCAAGAGGAGTTGAGCTGCATGCGAAGAAGCACAACTGGTTCGTTCCTTCCAGGTGCGAGCCAACGCAGGCAATGACGATGAGGCGCAAGCTGGCGTGAGCAAGTGCAGGCCAGCGCAAGCAGAAGAAAGCAAACAAAGGGGCAGGCACAAGCAAGCAAGCACGAGCATGCGCAAGCAGTGGGAACCATCTCCCGGTACCACCTTGCTCCAGGGAGATCTCAACAGGCCTCAAAAATGCGCCAGCCGCCCCCGCCCGAAGGCGTCTTGCAAAACTGCCGAACCTGGCGATCCAAAATGACACCCCCACCCCCGACGGCGGAACCCGCTAGCATCCCTAGCAGGCGGGGTGCCGGAGCTTGGGGGTGGGGGCGAGATTTCGGCGGCACTCGAGGCTGGCGTTCGAGCGTGGGCCGTTCCCCAACATCCCACCCCCAGTCGCGGAACCCATTCGGTAAGACTGCCTCACCCCTATTGTGGCAGGGCTTAACTCAACGCGACGCACTGAAGATTCATAACTCCATCCCCCTGCAACAACGACCTGCTGTGGCAAGGGGTGGGGGTGTCATTTCGGGTTATGAGAACCGACAGGCCGCTGAGCGCGACAAGCTCCCAGGCGGGCACGCCCGCCGCAGAAGCCGAGCAGCCCACAGACCGGGGGAGCTGCGGCCCGCAACCCGCCCCGCTGAGGCACCCCACTGCGTCGAGGGCCTCTCGAGGAAGCCCCCATGGGGGTGGGAGGGGCAAGGATATCAGCTTCCCCAGGGTGTGGCTGGCCTGACGGGGGGTGCATGGGCGGCGCCCACATAGGAAGGGAAGAGGGGCGCCTTCTCAGAAAGGTGGGGGGGCTTCTACTCGGAAGGCAGGGGCCCTCTCAGGAGGGGCTGGCGGCTCCGAAAAAGCCTTATCACCCCTGCTTCCTAAAAAGCACCGCTGCCCTCTTCAAAGCCCGCCCCCCTCGCGCCACCCCCGCTGTGGGCGCCGCCAAGAGCAATGCCGCGCGACCTCCTCCCACTCCGCCTCGTCCGCGGCAGGTTCCGCGTCAGGCGCAAGATCCTCCTGGTCGGGAGGAGCTGTGCGTGCGCGGCGGAGAAATCTAAGACTCGAGAGCGCGAGTCCGCGGGGGAGGGTGGGCGTAGGGACGGAAATAGCACCGATGTGGTTGATTGCTCAGCCCTTCTCAGTTTCCTCATTTTCACCACCACCGCCATCACCATCACCAGCACCACCACCATCATTATCATTATCATTATCATTATCATCATCATCATCATCATCATCATCATCATCATCATCATCATCATCATCATCATCATCATCATCATCATCATCATCATCATCATCATGAGCATCACCATCATCACCACCATCATCATCATCACCAACAACAACAATACCACAAACATCACCATCAGAAGCAGCATCAACAACATCAGCTTCACCATCGTCACCACCATCATAGCATCATCATCAGAAGCATCATCCGCATCACCACCAGCACTCACCAGCATCAACATCAACATAACCATCATCATCGTCATCATCATCAGCATCATCCCCATCAGCATCATCATCATCATCATCATCATCATCATCATCATCACCATCACCATCATCATCATCATCATCATCATCATCATCATCAGCAGCAGCAGCAGCAGCAGCAGCATCATTCTCACCATCCTGTGCATGATATGCTGTTTCGTTCGGCGGATAACTGCGGACTGGAAATGACTGCTCACCGCGATCAGCGGGCTGCTCCTCCACAGCCGAGGGACGAGGATACCGGCCTCCTCCCGAGAACAAGCACAGACACGCAAAGTCGAACTGGCTTCGACCCGAGACTCCCTCCTGGGCAAGGCGGGCGGGCGACCCAAAAAGGGGCTTCGGATATAATATGAAACGACACCCCTCTCCCCACGAATCATGTCCGCGCACGCACCCCAATGATATGCTGTTTCGTTCGGCGGAGAACTGCGGACTGGAAGTGACGACTCGCTGCGATCAGCGGGCTGCTCCTCCACAGCCGGGGGACGAGGGAAGCGGCCTCCTCCCGAGAACAAGCACCGACACGCACAGTCGAACTGGCACCGACCCGAGACTCTCAAACCTCCTACACAGGGTTGCCATTCAAATGAAGGCCCTCGTAAGAGACACTAGAGACCTAGCGAGCGCGCGGTTAAAACCGCCAGGCCTCTTGGTGGCTAAGATTGCGCGGCTTATGCCGTCACTGCTCCTGCCTCTCAACTGCGCGCGTGGGAGCCCTGTGTTATCGCAGATTCCCGTGCGACTGCGGCACGCGCGATGGAGTCCCTCCAGGTCTTCGGGCTCGAGCCCAACATACATAAAAGTGCAGCGGTACCTCCGAGACGCCCCGAACATGCATCTAGCACTCGTGAATGTCCTAACGCAAGCGGCAGGTAAATCCTCAGCACTAGGCGCGAAATGTGACCGCGCCCGACTCCCCTCTGGCATCTCGTGGACAAACGGAACTCGAACCCTCCAACACAATCTAGCAAGGCGACTCAGTCGTTCGGCGAACCGTTTCACCATGTAGCGATTACATCGGTTGCCGCTTGCCTTGCGTGCGTGGGCGAGACAGACAGGAGCAACGCATCCTTCCGCCTCAGATGGCCCGAAACTCGCTGCTCCAACGGGGCGCTCAACCTCGTGTCGCCGAGCGTGTCTGCGCGCCGCGTCCAACTGGGTATACCATGGGAGGCCAGCTTCGATCCGATTGTGCTCACCTGGTCTCCTATCAGCAGCGCTTTGCACAGGGCTGGACGCCGCCTGGCAGCGGCGCCGCGCGGCCCTGCAGCCAGGCGGGCCCCCGCTCGCGCAGGCGCTGCTCGCCGTTGACCAGAGGCGTCGGGTTGTTCATCTGCGTCTACTGCCCCAGCCGAGCGCTCTCCATGTGCCTGGCCAAGCTTTTTCAGCTGCAGCCATCCTTCGCGGCGCTGAACTTCCGCCTGTCGCGCCCGTCTCTGGCGCGGTCGATGCTCGCTCCGGAGCGCCGTGACTGGCATGGCGTTGTCCGCCGCAGCTGAAGCGCGCAACGGGCCCCCTTCATGTGGCGCAGGGGAATGGGGGTTCATCCTCTGCAGCGCTGCCAGAACAGGCCAGAGCCACAGCGGCCACGCCGAATCCAGCTCCACGCTCAGGTCGGACTTCCCAACCTGGCCTGGCGCTGCCCACTCCTGCGGGCGCACGGGCAGCCCCCCGCGGCGGCCCCCGCCACGCGGCTTCACCGCGCAACCTGAAGAGGAATAACAGCCTCGGGTACGTCGAGACCGCCAGCGCGAGAAAGACCTCCATCTCGCGGTAGCCTCTCAGTGCCAGGCCAAGCATGGGCCCCCCCGGTAATCAGCGGCTCTAACATCCTGGCTCGACCATGAAGGGGGAGCGAGGTCAAGTAGCGAACCAGACGCGCGTCCATCGTCTCCAAGGGCAGCTCGAAGAAGTCCTGGTGGCCGCCACTCTCCTTCACATGCTCGAGCATCCGATAGTACTGGGCTCGCGCGCGCGGCGTTGCAGCGCTCGGCTCCAGGCAGCGGTCGATCACCACTTCGATCCCGGTCGCTCGGACGTCCGCCGGGTGCCTCTGCCTCGCCCGTCTCGACAGCCTCCGCTGGCACTGGGCAGCGCTGGCGGCCTCTGACTCGCTGGTAATGCCGCTCGAGCTCGCCTCGGCTGATCGAGCCTGCCTTCCAGTGACGCGCCCTCGGGTGCCGGCAGCCCTGGGCTCCGATGCCACCCTCCAGGCTCCCTGGCAGGGCAGCGGCCGTCTCACTGGCTGTCGGTCTCGGCGACGCTCGCGCCCGCCCGCTCTTTGCGGCCCCCGAAGCCTCGGCCCGCGTCCGCGCCCTCGGTCGAGGCCTCCACGCGGGCGCCGCGCTGGAGCGAGCTCTCACCGCGTCTGTGGCATGCGACTGCAGTCGCTGGCTCATGCAAACGGCTTCGAGCCAGAAGTGTCTACGGATGACACCGATGAACCAGTCGGCCCAATGCGGCCACGAGTGCTCGCGTCTTCAGAATAGTATATCTCATTCACACAAGCCTCACCCGACTGGAAATCTGACCCGAGTTCCTCTTGCCGGCAGCACGGGGGTTTCAAATTGCGCGCGCAGACCCCGGGGGGGTCGAGAAAGCAAGCTCCCCGCGCCCATCCCCACTCCCCGGGCTGGGCACAGGAGGAAGGAAACAGGCAGGCAGGGAAACAGGAATAAGACGCGTGAGAATCTTCGAAAGCTCGCCACCCTCGGCCCGCGACCCCTCGTCGCAGTCGTTCAGTTCGCGCGGGATCCAGCCGGCGATAGCTCTCAACTTCCGACCCAAAAGATAGGCCGTGAACTTGCGAATCTGCCTCAGCATCGGAAAACTTCAACGCCTACACCTATCAAAAGCTAAAGCAACACCAAGATAGTCAACCAGTTGAATCAGCCTGGCATTGAAACGGGAAAGAATGAAAGCAAAGCGTTTTAGCGACATCACGAGCGCTCTAGATTCTAGCCTGCCGATGTGCTCCCAATATATCCAGGCCCCCTGCCCTGCGCCCCGCCAGAATTGATGGGGCGGGAGCTCACTGGGCACCCCTTTTAAATCGGGGTCCATCTGGTCGCCCCCTTTGGGCAGCGTGGAACCGTCAGGAACTTTCCATCTTCGTCTACGCAGAGCGTTGAGCCCCCCCCCCTCCCCCTTCGACGTCATGGACTCCCCGAGACCCGCGGCCGTCGGGGCCGAGCGGCGAGTTTCGACCCCCCCGTCCGTCCTGAACCGCCTCCTCTCACGACAACGGCCGACGACATGGGGGGAATCGAGATCCCAGACCCCGCGAGCCCATATCCACTGTCGGAGGCGCCCGAACGCCGCACCCATCGATTGAAGGACAACCGCCAGTCGGAGACAACCATCGGTAAGAGCCCACGGAATGCAATTAAATCTTCTCGACAACAGGCCCAGAGCGACCCCGGCCCCTTCTGAATTTGCGCGACGAATCTGTAGCACGCATAAAATGCAGACAGCACGGGGCGCCGCACGAGCCCTAAGCACGCGCAGTGCCCAAGCAGTACTCGCAGATCGTCGCCCCGCACGGTGGCCAGCTGCAGCGCCCCGCCGATCGCCTGCCGCGCCCTCCAGAGCCGTTTCGGCACGGGCCGCGCCTGGCACTTCTGGCCGTCCAGCACGACCCCCGACACCTCGACCCCGTCGCTCCGCACCTCGCGCCCGTGGACCGTCAGCCCCACCGCCTCGAACGCCTTCGCCAGCTCGTCCAGGCCGTGGCTGATGGGCTCTCCGTTCTGGCCGATCATGCCCATGATGCCCGCGTGCACGTAGTGCCCCACCTGGTCTGTCCCGCGCGCAAGCCTCAGCACCGATGGCCCCCCCAAGTCGCTCAGCGGGGCGCCGTCGCGCAACCTCGAGGCGAACTGGCACCTGAGCTCGGTCGCGCTCTGGCGCGCGCACAGGCTCCGCGCGCAGCCCATCGGCAGCGCCTCGGGGGCCGGGTAGACCAGGTCGTCGAACTGCACCCGCTGGCCCTCCAACGTGGCACCGCGCAACCCAACGTCGCCCGCCTTGACTGCGGGCGCTCCGATGAGCATCTTCATCCAATTGGGGCAACCGCGCGCGGCGGAACGCGCCCTTCGCATCCGCGACGCCCATCGAGTACTCTGCGTCCGCCAGCGCCGCCTGCTGAGCCGCCTCCAAGTGGCCCTTCGCGCCCCCCCCCAGCTCCTCGAACTCGAATACCGACGGCCCCCCTGCCGTCAACAGCTGCACTGACAGCGGGCCGATCGGCCACGCATTGCTCCGCCGACAATCAAGAATCACACGCGCCCCCCCCCCCCCCCCCTTCCCTTCATCCGCGCAAACAAAAAAAAACACCTACCACCTCCGAGACCTGGCGCGCCAACAATACCAGTTCGCGCCCGGCAAGGCCCCTCGCAAAATCGCCGTGCCCACGTCGGCTCCGTGCCGGCGCTGGCTCGCTGAAGGGAACCCGCGGACAGCGCTCTAGCACCTGGCGCACGCTCTCACGGTCTCGCAGCACAGGCCCGCCC